GACCTAAAACACAAGTACTTGCTACAATACGGTAAAGTATCTATATTTTTCCCAGCGTTAACCAGAATAAAAATAACTTTTCTTTATATCAAAATTCATACATAATATTCCTATTAATGTATTCAGGTACAATTTAAGATTAAAAACAAGCACACAAAAAAGGAAAGTTAAACAGTACAATAAGTTAAATTTTATACTTTATTGAACATTGATTATAATAGTGATCATCTACATTCACATTAGACCAAATTGCTCTAGTTTAGCACCATCAGCCTTAAGGGAATGTGTAACATCATTCCTTACAATTCAGTGCATCTCTGCAATACTGTATATTTTTTCAACAATTATATAAAACCACTGTCACAGAGTATATATTTTTCTTTTAAAAATAGCAACTTCACTGTTAGAAAATCGTGAATAACACCATATTCTCAATTTTGTTAGTAGTAGCAGATTTTCCTGAATGCAAACAATTCTTAAAAAAATACTGAAAAGCTGGATTGGCTTTAACAGAAATGGCACTTACAGACTTTATCAAATTTTAGTTGCTTATCTACACACCAAGGCAACAGAAACCTTCCTTGCTGTTAACACAGAAAATCTGAATGGTTCAGAAGACTGGATCATCCCTGCTACCCAGTGAATGACTAAGAATGAGGCTGTCTGTCCCTCCCTGGGCAAATCTTGATCTGGTTTAACATTTCAGAATGTGAAATTTCAAGGGTGAGATAAAGCACTATGGAAGTCCACGCACGATAAAGCAATGAGTTGCAACAAAAAGTGCTGTTTTGTTCTGCTGCGTCTCATATCTGGGTTCTTTATCACATCTGTGCTGTGGAGATCTATGTCAGAAACTAGAAATCTAGTTTGTTATGAAGCATGCAGAAGAAAAAAAAAAAAGAACAGCACAGAGACTCTTCACAGTCCTTGAAAGGAAAAAAAAGCAGAGAAAGCAGGTGAAGAAATGTATTATCAATACATTTGATCATATTTGACAATCTTCCCTACAACCAATGCATTTCTATTTACATGTATTAAATATCTGTATCACATTCTATTTAAAAGTGGTTGAAACCAAATAAATGCTCCTTCCAAAACATAAGGAGGCATCAGAAAAATTCAATAGGATATCATCTTTTAGAAAATAACAACAACTTTAATGCTGATTGCATGGAGCATTAAAGCTACAATAGAATTCTTCACTCAAGACTAAAAAAAAAATACGGTCTGTCAATACCATCAAAATTTGCTGCACGAGGAGGTTAATCTCCAAGGAACTATTGTGAGGTTATTTTAGGCAGGGAGTCATCATTAGAAGACCTGCAACTTCTGCCAATATAAAGAAACAGCTACTTAGGGCTAATGTCCTGACCCCTTTGCAACATGGACCTTGTCTTTTCATCCCTCCACAAGGCTTCTTCAGTTCTTCTCCATTTTTGTTGTGTTTCATATATATTCACATATGAATATACATATTTTCAACAAAACAAAAATTAAAAGGAAAAATAAAATAATAATCTGCGCTGAAGCATCCTGTTTAAATATTGGCACTTAGGGACATGGTTTAGTCATTGGACTTGGCAGTGCTAGGTTAACAGTTGGACTTGATGATCTTAAAGGTCTTTTCCAACCTAAATGATTCTATGATTCTATTCTATAGATAACCAGGCACATCCAACTTCTGCTTTGCGTGACTGTTTCTGATTGCCTCACAAACCAGTCTTCCATATTGAACCAATAACACACAAAACAAAAGGACTTGAGGATTTTGAAGGTAAAAGCAGTCTTCCTTTCCCTTAGGAAAATATTGTCTTATGGATGGAAAAGCAATGCTTGCCAGCAAACATTACATTTCAGAAATACATATTTTAATAGTCAATATCAAGCAAAAAATACCCATAAAATGAAAGTCCCAAACTGCAAGATACTAGAAATGTTACAGATTATGTATATAAAAAAGACAATTTCTGCAAACTCAACTTCCTCTCCAGTTTTTAATCGGCAAGCTGCACAGTGCACCATGAAAAGATCTTTCAGCTTTTGCCTGGTGAACTGGCACACCCAGAGTGAAATATTTCTTCAGCACCAGCTTAGCCAGTCAAAAAACAAGTAACATTTCTCTTTTTCATTCAGTTCTACTGAGTTGTTTTCTGGTAGAGCCCTAGAAGGGATTGAGATAGGAACAAAAAATTTGCAGTGCCTATTCTAGGCATCTCACAAAGAAGAGAGACATAGCATCCAGGTTCACGCACCAGCGTTTACTCCATCAGAGGGCGCAGGTCTGTGGCGTGAGTCAGTGCTCTGAGGTTAGATGCCTTCATGTTGGGCAATGGGATACTTACCTGTAGTTAAGGAATTTTGTTGAGAGTGAACAAATGGTGACGATAAAAAAAAAAAACACAACAAAAAACCACACATACACAACCAAAACCACCCCCCAAAATCATAACCTACTGTTTTTCTGAGTATCTCACCTCAATTTCTTTTGCCTTGAAATCTCCATTGACTGAAAATAACACTGCCTCCTACAAAGATGAACAGGCACTATTCGGAACAAAAGGCACAAGGCCAGAGCTATTGGGAAGTCACAGGCCTCCTTCCCAAGTTTGATGAAGAATCTATTCCTTGCTGATCTGCGCTGGTTTAAAATGGAAGGCTTTAAAATTGAAACTTTGGTGTTTCAAAGAAATTTTAGGGCATGGAACCAGAGTAATAAATAATATCCATTGATTGCGGATACTGGAGGCATTAATGATATTCTAAAGGTAAAAAAAGGAGCTACTAAAAAACTACTATCATTCAAACGTGGGATGGCTTTGGAAGGCACTTGAGTTCTGCTAGCAAAAAAAAGATGAAGTTGCTAGGAAAGAAAACTTTCACCTTCTTCCTTCTCCACAGGGAATCTCCTTTCTGGACCTGTAGATTTTCAGTTTTGGGCAAAAGCAGCTTGCTGCCATAACACACTCAAAAAAACCAACCCTACGGGTTCGTAATAGCAAACTTGGCTTCACCATAAATAGATGCAAGTGGGCATGCCAGGAACCTACTGGGGTTTTAAATCATTGCAAAAGAGGATTAAAGAAGAGAATATTTAGAGCGGCAGTAGGCAAGGAAGACTGGTGTTTGACTCCCTACCTGACTGAAAATGTGAACTATCTTGTCCTCATTGTTACTTTAAACCAGGTAATCTAATTGTTAGCCAACAGTTATTAGCCACACTTTGTCCTCACTTGTGAACAGATTCAATGCTTCGATAAAATCACATTGAGATACATTAGACTTAGCTTTTGTAGACAAGTGTTTTTGCAGAGATACTGGAAGGAATAGAAGAACAGAACTGTGGTGACATGAAGTACAATTCTCTCTAAGTGAAAAATGATTAGCACTTCCACAACTGAGTTTGCACCGTCTACAAATATCTTGCTAATAAAGTGAAAGAATCTCTTTTTTTTGTTTGTTTTAATAATACAAGTCTAAAAGTCATTCAAAATCTAGACTTGAGTTACTAAATTCATGAGTTCTTGAAAGATTAGAATTACAATGAATAGGTAGGAGAGTTTTGGTGCAGAAAGGATGTAATTTTGAAGACCATAGCTCAGAAAGGTGAAAGACCTCAGGTAGAGTAAATTGAAAACTTTGACCACTGCAGAAGCCATCAGTGTTTCATGCACATTAATTCACACACACACGAATATTGTAATTGTTTTGAGGCCACATAGCTCTTCTCACACACATTAAAGGAACCTAAACATAAGAACTGAGCAACATAAAAGCTTTTCAAGAAGAAAGCCCAGCCATTGGTGTGTTACATCTGATGGAAATAATATTACAGAGTAGTCTTTCACTTCTGAGACTGATCAGAAGCTGTATTGTATTCACCACATCATGTACATAATAACCTGAGAAAGAATATTAGCATAAACCATTAACCCATCAGGGAGAAACTCTGGAAGAGGATTTCTTTTTAAAAGGAAAATGATCCCCTTAAAATACATGCAAACTTTGAGGAAAACAAGCAGTGCCAAGCAACGGGGGCCAAAACTGAGCCATTCATAGTTATGATACTTGGACTTCAACAAAATCAAGCACATGAAAATACAACAATAGCTTAGGAAACCATCTACAAAAAAAATTGACTGAGGATAAATTTGCTATCCAAAAACACACTTGTGAGAATTAAACAGATCATATTCCAAAAGGCTGTCATACCTAATAAAAAGTACTAGAAAATACTGAATTATAGAGGTCTGAGCACACGGAGCCTGCCCTGTGCTTACAAAGCATTGCCTATTCTCAGCTAACGAAAAAACAAGCATGTAAAGTTCTCCATGTAAAAATAATCAGAAAAACCCCACCAATTTCTCTTCTTTTTCTTTTATACTTATGTGTACATTTTAGAAAGCAAAATTGTCAGGTGATATTGCTCTTTAATAATTTCAATTAAAATAAATGATGTTGCTCTTAATGCAGTTTACAACCTCATAAATAACCAACCTGAGTAGAAAAGCAACAAAACAATACCAAAAAGCAACCTACCATTTACCCAGCCATCAAATAGCAATATGAAAGACATCACATTCCTCTTTCTGTACTTCAGAGACACAGGAGCACTCTGGTATGCCAAATATTAGGGGATGCTATTTGCTCACGATACTTTTAAATCATAACTATGAATGCACTTGACATCTCTTGGAAGAGAAAAAAAAACCCCTGCATACCGCAATTTGTCAGCTTCTCTTAAAGCTGACATCTGTCTGTCTCCTTACTGCATGAAATAAAAGGCAAGCTTTCCATTTGCAAACTCCAGATCGCTCGCTCAATTGCTTCACTCAAATCACAGCATGCAAGGGCTGCATTCTAGCTAAGGATTATTTGTGGCAGCTGCCACGAACAGAGGCCCGTGCTCACCAGGGGAGAAGGGGGCATTTCAGACTGTGAAGCTGATTGCGCTGGAAGTGTTTGCTAATAGAGATGTCAGTGAAGCGAAGGAGTTTCAGTACCTGAGTTAACCAGCTGTTGCTCCATGACCCCACAACCCAGGACCTCCAGCCACTCTCCTTGGAAGTTGATCTCCATCTCAAAGGAAGGGTGAGTAAACGGGAAGTAGCAGTCTACCCATCTGACTTGCAGTCCTGTAGCAGTGTTTCAAAAAATAAATAAATATGAAGGGTGTATGCTTAAAAGGCCATCCCTCCCATCATCTGTAAAACTTGCCCTTCAACTAATGACACCTATTACAGCAATCCAAAGAAAATAAATAGCAAACAAACTAATTTACAACACTTGTGCAAGGTGATAAATCTTAAAACTTGTGGAAAAAATGACCATGTCTTTTCTAATATGAAAAAAAGATTTGTGCAATTCAAGCACCCTTTGAAACCAAATCAATCATTTGTCAAACTCTAGCAACCACCTGGCATGGAACAAAAATGAGCCAAGATCATGGGAAAGTCAGTGATTTTGTTATTCTTTGCACTAGGAAATGACTAACTGCTCCTCACAGGAAAAGCTAAGTCTTTAATTTTCACTTAGTATTTTATAGATCAGCTAGGCAAGTAATTTTTTTTCATCAGAACCTATTTAAAATACAAAGCTATTCTTTCTGTGTATGTTTAAATATGAAAGTTAAAAATAGCTATTAATACACACAAATATAAATATACACAGAGATGTACATTATTAAGCTACCCTATATACCAACACACACAGAGTATTCTGGATGCAGGAGACAAGAGTTTAACTTTGTGTGGATGTGAAGTATAAGAGAGGCGCTGCTGGATAAGTCCCCTCCTCCCCAGCTCAGCACCTCTGAAGTACCCCTCTGCAGAGCAGGGAAACTCCCAGCATAGAAGAGCAACAGAGCCAGAAGAGGGCAAGGTCTGCAGTGCTGCCAAAAGGGGAGGTGTTGTCAAGGCTCTTGTTATATTTGATGAGTTTTAGTTCTTGTAATCATTTACACAAGCTTTCGTTCGCTAAAGAATTTTTTCTAGCCATTAGGTGTTGGGAAAAAAGTCTCGGAAACATGAACCGTAAAAAACAACTCGAAAGAGAATTGAACTGCAAATTTTGTGGGCTAATGCCTTAACCCCAAGCCCATCTTTCCCTTCAGTTAAGCCAAATGTTAGTCAGTGTCAGGATCATAAACAACCAGGCAGGTACAGCTTTGGAAATAAAAAAAGCACAGCAAAGATTGTTTGGGTGATGGTAACTGTTAACAACCCTGGTTTGATTTTCAGGCTTTTTTGGTTTTGTTTCATAAAAGGAACTTAAAACATGAAGTTGTATGATTTATACCAAATGTTTTTGAAATTAAAATGTTTCTTGTAGCCTCAGGAATTAGATTTTCTTTGATTACTTCTGAAACATTAAATGCGGCTACAGAAACTGAAACAGTAAGTTACAACAACAGCGTACCTACATAACCAAAGCATAAAATAACTAATAGTTACAGGGAACTTTTCTTGATGATATGAATTTTCAAAGGGAAAGGCAAGTTTCGAAACAAACACATTGGTATTTCTAGATTTTCTTTTATATCTTAAAAATCAACTTCAGGAAGTTATATGAATGATAAAAAGGCATTTTGATAATTTTATGCACAGAATTCAGAAGACTAGAAGCATTAGCAATTATACCATTCATAACTGCACTGTGACTTAGAGCAATCACTTCATTGTTTTTTGTCTGCATAACAATAAAAAATACATAGATTAAAAAAGTCATGTGTATACAACAGTATGGTGTGTGTAAAACATTTTTTAATTCCCCAATCTTGGTATAAATGCATTTTTAGTCCTAGGGCTGTACAACTCTGCATTCAGTGTAAATCCACACACACATAAAATGTCTTCATTTAGTTAGCAAAATTTGCAACTGCAGCAAGAACGACATTGAATATTCAAGTAGTTTTTTGTTCAGTAACAACATTCGGACAATGGTTTCTTTTTAATCCTCTGATTACTTCAAAATGAAGCTCTGGGAAAAAAGAATTTCTCTGCCTTTTGTTCTTAATTAAAATAAATTTTTCAAGGTAAAAAATAATTTAAAGCTTTATAATTTTGAATTTTAATGCATATTAGCAATTAAGAAGCATATGTTTTAAATGCAAATAAGTAAACACAAATCTGAGTAAAACAAGAAATTCACAATGAAGAAACAACTCTCACCTTGATTCTGTTCTCTAAATTAATAGTTAATCTCATATACCACAACAATTTTATTCACGCAATAGCCAGGACAAATGGGAATACTTCGGTAGTTTATATTCAACTGTTCTTTCAGACTTTTGGCTCTGGAAGACTTTTTAGTAAAGTAGAGGGTGCTCAGCCTTTGGCAAGATTAAGCCTTCTAACTGCATTTCTATAGACTGTCACAGAATAAATGGGTACATTTATTATTTAGATACAAAATATTGTCTTGGTGCTCAATATATTCCCGAGGAATAAAGGGCATTGCTCATACTCAGCACATTAAACCACTAAAGACTTAAAAGGATTACAAAGATTAGGCTTTCTATAGTACTATATAATTTACCTGATTAGACATAATTTATTTCTTCACATACAGCCTATGAAACACTGGCAAAAATGATCTTTTCTAGAAATTTTAGGACGCCAAGAAATGCTTATCTATCTTTAAACACAAAGGCACTTAAAAGAGCACTATGCTGAATCTAACTAAAGACTGATCACTGGATACAAACTCAGTAATTGCCCTAGTTCAAAGAGGTGATTTGTATGAGCAGAGGACACCTGCTCATTTCACAGCCCCACAGCGCTCTCGGGAGTCCTTCCAGCAGGTACACGTCTGTTAATAACTCACGTGTCGCATCTCCAGTGAGTATGGAAAAAGTGAATAGTTATTGTTATTTCTGAGTACTGGATCCAGGTAAGGAATTGGTCATAGCCTGCACTTCAAAGTAATGGTGTTATCAGATATTAAGCTAAACAAGTATCTGTCAGAGACTGTCTAATTGAGTCTCGTAATGAAAAAGGCTTGACCAAAGCCACTAAAAAAGAAAAAAAAGGAAAAAAAAAACGCAACACATTAAAGCAGCCCTATTGCTACGCTACAGCACAGAAGCAACAAAGCCAGAGACCCAGATGGTCTTCACTGACCAGAAATTCTCTTTGTTGCTGTGAGGATTATGTTTAGAGAAGGCGTCTATGGGGAAAAAAAAGAGAGAGGTGCGAGGTGGGGGCTGGGGAGCACAGAAGGGATCAAGCCACAGCCACTTGAGGGGTGTGTCGATTTTTTAAGTACTCTGCACTTCATTGCTTCAGCTAATTCATCTCACTTGCAGCAGACAGGAGCTGGCTGTACGTAAACCTATGTTAGCTCACATTATTATTAGCCAGACCATTATGTCCTCAATACATTTTCTTTTTTTTTTTTTAACTCCTTACACTCATAGATCTCCATGCACTCGAAGGAGATATCAGTACAAGAGAGTTAAGAAGAAAGAGCAGGACAATGTGTTTGATTTAAAAGACATCCAGTGGCTGTTCAGTGAGAACCAGCAGTGGCAGAACCATCAGTCAAAGCACACCATTACTTACCCTCCCGGTGCCTAGGAATTGAGTAGATAAATATGGGACAGCAGTGAATTTTGGGCCGTTTAATGTAAAGCAACAAATCACAGAACCAGTACATAGTCATTCTTTTCTATTTGCTATAGTAAGATTACTTCTGAATCTCTCAGGGTCCAGAAAGCTTTTGGCAAACTACAGAAGAGTAGAGAAAAAACTGGCATTGGGAAAGACTGATTGACTGTATGAGGAAAGCTAAGACACGTAACCTTGGAGAGCCTCGTTACAAGATAGCTAAAATGAGATGGAATAGTCATCCTACACTGACAGATCTGCAGGTGGAGATGGAGGTGTAAGTTAAATTAGCGGATTTTAAGTGTGCACTGTATCTGGAGGTAATAGAAGAAAACTAAGAAAGGTAATCTCCAGACATAATATTTGAAATAGCTTCCTGACAGCAAAATCCCATGGAAAAAACTGAAAGTTCATCACTTGTAGAATACAAAATCAGACATGGCATACCACTAGAAAGTGTCATAAAAAGAACTATCTTACATTGTCAAGTATTTAAGACAATTGATTGCATGCTCCAGATCTTTCCCCCTCTCTAATATCCATCATTCCTTTTTGACAGTCAGCGAAGCCAGGAAGAAATAAAAAGACAAACCTTGGGAATAAATGTAGGTGCAGATTTTTATGAAGTCTTTGACCTTCCTCATGAGAGCCTAGTGATCTTTAAGCAACTTGTTATATTATTTATTGCATGTACAGTCAACACTAAAGTATATAGGTAGTGTGGGATGAGTCCGGTAAAGCAGAACTGTCTCATTAAATATTATGAAAACTAAATTAGAACAACACAACAAAACAAACAACAGGTCAGTGCTCTGACCTTTCTGCAGAGGTCCTCAATCTATCATCAACCTGAGCTGGCAAATTCCCAGAGAAGCACTGCAGAAGCACAGCTACCCAAGTCCAGGACTTCAGGCCTAAGCTAGTTTATGCAAAACTAACTTGCATGGTAGACTTAATCTACAATCCAAACAATCTGCCTATGAATAACGGTTGACTATATGACAATGCAACATTTCAGTCGCTTGCTGCAGCTATGACCACGCTATCCTGCTAGGAAAGATGTGCAACTTCACTGCAATATTCTGCTGACAGCACAGGCTGTAATACAACCGATGTGAAGTATAAAAGGAATGAAATTTTTGCTTTTAACAGAACATGGGGCCTTACAGAATATTCACAAGAAAAAATACAGAATTTCTCCAGGAGCAATAAATACAGTAAAATAAATTTAAATTTTAGGTTAAAATCTAAGGGAGTTGAGACACAAATGTAATCAAAAATATTGTGTGAAGTGGAGAGTAAAATGAAAATTAATAAATGGGAGCTGTCAAAAGACAAATTTAATTAAGTGCGCCTCAGGTCACTTGCACTGCACCCATCTCACAGGTCTAGTGCCTAGCATGAAGTTTGCTTTTTTGAATATTACCTTCCAGTTTGTATTGACAACTTACAAGAAGATCAAGAAGGCAAAGGAACTTCACATTTCCATGCAAAAAAAAAAAAAAAAAAAAGAAAAAAAGAAAAAATAAGAAAGAGATAATTATATTTCAGTCACTACCTATATCTTGTCTTTGTATTTCAGGAATAACATTGCGAGCATAGAAATAGAAAATCCCTACAGTAAGAAGGCAGCACCTACTTTCACTTGTACACTTGTAAGTGTACAATCATTTAAGAATATTTTTTTAATGTCTTTCTAGCTACTGTGTGGAATGTAGAAATAGCCAACATACTGAAGCTTAAAGTGTAGCATCTGTCAACAGTTAGAGAAGGATGTTACTGCAGTCTCAGATATCACTAATAACTCCTAGAAATTGCTCACTTTAAATAACATCCTCAGCATCTGAGGTTGATCAAAAAATATCATTCTTACTATCACTCACTTTGATCCTAATTTCACATGTTTCAAAAGGCTGCTGCTAAGTAAAATACAACCACAAGAAAAACTGAACTCAGGAACTTAAATTTTTGTCCAAGTAGGATAGAACAAAAACAGGTAAAAGTTCTGCTTGCTGTAAATTCAACTTGAGAATTTCAGACAAATATTCAAGCAGTCATATATAGGACTTGCTACTGTTATCAATCCACACTTGGAACTACCGCTTTAAATTCAGTGGGCATCTTAAAAGAGCTTTGAAAGTAGCCAGCATACCCTGTGCATTCTAATACCACCCAGTATTTCCTCAATAGAAAAATGAATCAGTCCAGAAAAGAAGCCTCCTTGCCAGGAAACAGCATTAATGTAGCAATTTTAACTCAGGCCCTTTATAAATTCAACTCCTCAAACCGAAAGTAGGTATTTCTGAGGAGAGGATATTTCATTCATATACATAGACATTCATTACCCTTCCTCATTCCACTCTAAGTACCAAACAACAATTATTTTTCATCTTGGTGCAAACTTAGCAAACACCATCTCCCCTCAACTGCAAGGTTTAATTTATTTGCACAAGGAAAACACTGATGGCACTTTGAACATGTATGCAGCAAAGCAGCACGTGCACATACATACCCCTTCTCCTGTCAAGCTCCACGCTGTGGGTGAGAGATGCGATCATCGCCCTGCACGCTCCCCAGCGGCGCCCAGCTCTGACGTGGCCCCAGGTGCGATGCCGCAGTCACACCCTGTCCCTCCGGGGACACAGGATGCCCATAAGTACGAAACAAAGGGAGTCCCACACGACTGTGTGCTGGAGTTGGAGCCATCTCTCCTCACAGCACCCACACCGAAAGGTACACTGCGTCCTCTCCAACACATGGCTTCTGCCAGACGAGCACGTGGCACACATCCCTACCTGTACTCCTGCCTACTATGTTACCCTGACACACTGCATACCAAAACCTCTTCACAAAACTGATGATTCAACAGTGTTGTGCGTGTCAGTATTTAGAAAAACCATGAGAAGAGTGTGTGGCCTCTTGGGCTGCGCTCAATAATTTTATAAGGTGTGGATATAATAGTATTAAAGAATAATAACATATAAAATATAGATTACAGCTGAAAGGTCAATCAACAGCCAGTTACTCCGACATGAAAAGACACTGGGATGGAACTCTGACCAAATTTAAGACAAAAATGTAACAGTAAAGGATATGAATGAAGAGTCCTAAGATTACTGTAACTCTCATCAGAAAAAACCCACCTGGCTGTTTCAGTACACCAGCTGTCACCATCACTCCTAAGCCTCCTGTGTTTATTATGTAGCAAAATGTTTCTCAAAAGTCTGGATGCCTACAGGCATCAGCAGTCCAGGAAAAAAGGTGTGAGAACCTACCATCACCAAAGATGTGAGTCATGAGCTTTGTGAGCACTTGCTTCAGGTTGAATTCCACCAGCCTCACTGCCTCCATAGTGTGACACTCCTGCTTGTGTGCAGTGCGATGACCTTGCTCAAACAACTGTAAACCTTGGCCATCTTCAATGTTGGAGAACAACTAGAACAAAAACACAAAAAAAACAATGTTTTGCATCAATGACTCTCTAAACGAAAACAGAGAATGAAGTTTTATTGATTTAAGTGGGAATCTTACCTGCTAAGTCTGCACCATGAAAAACAAATGTAAGGACTGTGACTTTATACAAATTCTGTTCACTAAACACAGAGATAAATCATCACAAGAACAGAAATATTCAAACAATAATATTTGCTTTATTTCTGTATCATATCTTCAAATATGATTAGCTACAGGAAAATATTAATTTATAAAGGAAACATTTTTTTCTGATCCTGTTACTTTGAAAGTTACCATGCAGAACAAACTACACTGTACTGTATATGTAAATTACATCCCCAAAACTACAATATACAATGGCATTTACCACAGCTTCAACTTTTTTTAGTAATTGAATGATGTGAAAGAAATATCAAAAAACCCAACACTTTTTAAACTCTGTAATCAAATCAACTTAAAAACCCACAAAAAATCCAAACAAAAAAACCCTGGCAGGTTATTAAGCTGCCTATATTTCATTGATCTTGGGTACAGTTTATTCATTTAAGGACTACCATTTTCCTGCGTTTTCTCCACACACAGCACCTTTCTGTGTACAGGAATTTTGCCTATTGGGCATTTAAGGATTCATGGTCTTGGTCTGGGGTTTCCAAACAAATTACAAAGCACAGGGGCAGGCTGTATTTGAGATGTGACAGACTTGCTCTTCATGCAGAGGCCACTCTCTACCACATCTACTGCAAGTTGAAGATTTCTGATTTCCTGCACATCCCCACACATTTCTGGTCAGGCCATGCCAGACATATGTACCAGCAAAACACCCTAAGCCACATCGTTGGAGGGTCCATGTCTTGGGGAGACAAGCAGACATTCTTACACTGTAAAGAGGATTTTTGTTGGAAATCCTTACAGTTGTACACAAAACAACTCTGTGGAATCTGAGGGCAGAGAGCTAATTGTGAAAGTGTTTCTAGTGCCCTTTCCTACCCCTCCTCCTCCACCTTCCCATAGTCAACCAAGCACACAGAGGGGAAAAAAACGCATTGAGATTTTCTTCACATTAAGCCTCCCAGCGTAACTAGCTCCTACTCAGGAGATGCCATGAACAGCATGTAACCTTAAAACCTCACAGAAGCCCACAGAAGTTATTTTAATTGCAGTTGGATGCCTTCAGTGCACTAAATGCTTTATAAAAAGTTCAAGCGAACCTCTGGTAACCTACAAATGCCGGGCACAATTAAGACTAGCTTCTAGCATGTTTCATACAGACACAACGCATGCAGGAGGGGGTCTCAGTTTAGATAGCACCCAAACTAGCAGCAAAATGGATTGAAGGAGTAAAAAAAAAAATAATTCCATCAGTAGCATTTAACTTTGTATTGCTAGTCAGAAGGAGACTTGGCAGGCAGATTGAGAAAACACCTCTTAAGTGAATCTCCTTAGTGCGCTGCAGAAAAACACAAAATAAAAAAGGAAAAAGAAAAATACCAAATAAAACAATTATCCATCAGTCTAACAAAAATGCTTTTACTAGTCAAAAGGCAGCAGCTTGACAAAACCAGGTATTACACTTTCGAATAACAGATTGTCTATCCAAGTGTTCACCTGGAAGATTAAACACCCTTTCTTCCTACTGGCCTTATTTCTGCACTGGCTGGAAGTAGCAGATGATACCCACCCTGTAACTAACTGTCAGCAGGGCAGATCAGCCACCCAACACGTGGTTTTGAAAGGCAGAGGGTATTCACAGAGGCCAGCATTACCCTAGGGAGGTTAATCGTCTTAGGCTCACTGGGTGGTCAATGGACAGACACAGGCTCCCTCACACAGGAACCTGGTGTGGCTAAGTTAGGTTCCTGCTTGGAATTACCCTCTACAGGTAGCTATTTTTAATTTCTATTAACTGAAGAGACTACCCTCAGTAAGCCAGAAACAACCTTCAGGCCACAGAGATTTTCCTCCTTTGGACTAGAATACACTGTATTTACACATTAGAAAATGTATTTATTATTTTCCCCATCAGCAGTATTTTAGGACATGAAACTATTCCTTCTTTTCTCTTTCCTCCCCTCACCCTCCAGCTTAAAACTGGTTCCTCAGACCACTGCGAGGAATAGAGAGTCTTGACACTGCCTTTAAATACAGCATTTGTATCAACAAGTACATAGAAGTACTTTTCCTTACCACTGTATTATTCTTGAAATTGCAATTACTGTCTGAAGCAAAATTCTATTTTAGTACGTAATATCAGATGTGGCAATAAAACATGTGTGAGAACTATTAAATACATTGAGTCATGCCCCAGCCCTCTAACCTGCCAGCCTCTTCATCCTGCCAAACCAGCCATATGCACCAGCTCCCTCTCCTTGCCAGGACAAGCATCCGTGGCATGGTGCACTGAGCCGGGGACGTAAATATGGATGAGAAATAACCCAGGAGAAGCGAGGAAACTGAGGTATGTTCAAATGGCCAAATTCAGCTCAGTAGTCAATTATCAGCGTACTGGCAGCACCAAGAGACACGCTGGCACGTGGGACGGGGCTGGGCCCCTTTTGGCACAGGTGTGAATCTACGCCGGTTCACACGGGCTGTGAAAGCGCAGCCGTAGGGGCGTCCCCGAAGGACAGGCAGCGGCATGGAAAGAGCCCTCCTTACGGCCAGGCACCGAGAGGCACTTTGGTATTCTCCAGAGAGGCTCCACCAGCTCCTGTCAACTCTAGCACAGCCGTGGATGGGATTATACAGAGAAAAAAAAAAGATGCCTTACCATTGTATTAATATTTATTCCCTTTTTTCCATTCACCGGCATTGCTATGTCAATATGAGCAGCTTTAAACTGATACACCAATTTCACTATTACAATGATTGAACCGTGCTAAGCACAGGACCTGGATTAGAAACATGTCAGCATTTCTATATACATAAAGCTGGGAAAGTCAAAGCTTGAATAAAATGAAAAATCATGTACAGAGGCTTCTCAAGCATGTATCTGAGCAAACGGGAAAAAAAAATAATCTAACAGTCTTGCTGGACGTATCCAAGATGCCACAATTTGATATACATTTATTCCTTCAGTGCAGACTAAAATAAAATGTACTATTTTATTGTATTGAATATGATCAGTCATTACCACTACCAGAAGAGAAATTTCCTGTAGCCATAAATCAAGCACCTATGCATCTGTCTAATGTAAGGACAAGAAGTTTTTTCTATAAGTGATGGCATGCAAAACATTGAATATTGTGTCATCACACAGAAGCCCAAAAAAATTAAGTTACCAGGATTTATCAGCATATCTGACTGATGCTGCATTACAAAGGAGAAGGTAGAAAGGAATCGAAGTGACCTTACCATCTGGCATGAAATTTACGCACAATTTAGTTCATAATAAGAATAAAGTCAAATTTGGTAACACGTAGTGGCCAGAAGATACTGGGTTTTAATTGGACAAATACAAGCAGAGCTACACTCCTTTAAAAGCACTTCATGGTATTTCCCAGCCTGGCACAGAGGGCAGAAATCACAGTGTGATTTCAACACAAACCTCAACATTTCTTCAGTCACTTGACAGACTTTTTTCAATCTCACATCACTTCATTATCTATATGCTTAGGATTCAGCCAAAGAGTAAGCATCTCTTTACAGGACAGCTTTCATAGCAGGTTTCAGATCAGAAAGATCTGTAATTACATCCTGTCTTTCCATAATGCAGTTGTGTATTCCTCCTGCCAGTCCTGCATATGCCAGCAATTAAGGTAATGAATACATAATGCTCATGTACTTATACTCACAGACAAACCAGCACTTAAGACCAGTTCTGCATGAGGATCTGCATGTGGCAACACTCAACCTTGCCACACCGAGTACATTTTGACTCTCTGGCCCTGATGAACATCCCTATAAATAAACAAACAGCTGCACTCTAAATCCACTTACAAATAGCAAAGCATTTCCACAACATTTTAAATGTGCTGTTACGCTCAACGGATGGATCAGGAATGATGAAGATGATGCCACTTGAAGATGGCTCATCAAAAAGAAAATCTAATGCCAGTCCCCATCAACCTCCAAGACAATGAAACTTGTAAACCTCCACCCCCACCCAGGCAGTTTCAGATGCCAAAGAGCTACGTAACCCATCATCCACACAACAGAACACTGTTTACTGCGTATTATAAGCATTTGTTTTGGAGAAATGGCAAAAATCACTTCAAGCAACAAGGCTTGCAGAGTGGACACCTTAATTTCTGGATTCTTCAGTCTTCAGTCCACCAATTACAGCAAGAAAGGTTATTTCTGTTTGGGGTATTTTTAACCTAATCAAAGTGTTTCTGAAAAAAACAAAAAAACCCCACTGAAATCACCACCACATTTAAGGGAAAACCATACAGATGCTTTGGAACAGCAAAGAAAAAGCAACACTGCTACTCATATATCAGTTATAATGAGAGAGATATGACAGGACTCAGAATTCTCTTTCTGTGGCAATAGGAATTCCTTCATTTTTAAACACCCTAGACTTCCTAATACACTTGTAGACATTTTTCACTTATTTCCCCCCCCCCCGCACAATTTAAATATTGCCTTAAGTAGATTTAACTGCTTTATTCTGAAATACATTGTTAGATTTTATTTTTTTTTTGGCTGGATGAGACAAAGTATGACAAAATTTGAAAATTTTTTTTATATAGTCTTTGTAATAAAAGATGCACTAGCAGCTTCCAAACTTTCTAGATCATGGACTACTACTACAAAAAAAAAATCTCACAGACCTTCTGATGCCCTTCGCTGTCAAATTCTCAACTAAAAATAATGAAGAATACAATGAGGGTCCTTGGAGCAGAGAAGCTCTACTTAATATGGCATGATTTATGCACCACAACTTGGAAAACAGTGAATAATTGATGTGGTTTAGCCCCAGCCGGCAGCTGAGCACCACGCACCGCTTGCTCACCCCTCTCCCGGCAGGATGGGGAGGAGAA